TATTCTGATCCTTTAGGCCGTATTTTATCCCAAGCTTTTAAAGCAATATCTTTTAATTGAGCATGAATCTCTCTTGGAGCTCCTGCCTGATGCTCAACAGTATCAAAGAAACCTGTACCAGAGAGCATGGGATAAGAAAGGAGTCTAATATTCGGATCTCGATCGTCAGCATTTTGTCTTGCCTTTTCCGCACAACCTTCCATAAACCACATGTGCCACTGTAAATATTCTGGCTCCTTTAAAAGAATTTTGGCCAAGGCTTTCCAATCATAAGGAGCAAGATTACCATAGTGATCTGCTACTGATGTTATTAATTCTCTAGTGTAATGAGCCTGAGGGCCATAAAGGGTTACAGCCTTTTTTAATTTTGCTAAATCATCCATATTAAATGCTTCCCATCTAGGGGGAACTGCCTCTCCATCTATTGGCTGAGGCCTGATTACAGGGAAAGCAAAGGCAGGCTTTTCCTCATCAGAATCCCCTAATTTTGGTAAATCAGCCAAAGCTAGCTTGGCTTTACTCCAATTAGGGTTAGATGGAGGAGGTGCAGAGGGAACTACAGGCGGGTTCTGCTTAACGGAGAGTTGTTTCACCTCTTGTGTTAAATGCTGTATAGCCTGTAAAATTGGGCGATTGTCATAATTTGATATTGCTGCGGCAGCTAAAGCTGAGTCGGCTGTAGCGGATTTTACTTTTGGTTTGGACGCCTTTTCACTACTTAAAGCGATAGCGTCATTTTGAACTACATTCTGCTCCTCCTCTGTGAGGGGCAATTCCTGAATAACTGGCTTAATTTCTAGTTGAAGATTTTCTACAATATGTTCATCTTCCATAGCTTTTAATAAAGAGTACACAACCGACCAAATAGCCCAAAAACGTAAAGGAATCTTTTCCTCCTGTTGCATAGCCCTTTCTATACTAACCCTTGCCTTCCTCCATACTTCTACATCCAAAGTTCCTTCATCTGGAAACCAAGGATTATATTCTTTAATTGTATCAATACACATATCCAAGTCAGCTGACCTGAGCGATATGCCATATATAGATAATAAATGTTTAAGAATTTTTAAGAAAGGAGAGGAAGCAGATTGTCCCATTTCCCCGTAATAAAATTATACTTACCTTCCTAAGCGATCTTCGGAGTCCCTGTTCGGGCGCCACTTGTCGTGAGTGTCTAGAGCACTCTGAACTCCGGGCAAGGTAAACACGCACGCCTTGTCGGGACACGGGGGGTACAGCGCTTGGAAAAGAAAGACAGGAGAGACACCTTTGCTGTCTGCATCGCGTTACACTGCACTGCACTGCACTGTACGCACAATCTTTATTTTAGGATTCATATATAGTAAACCCGATCAATTCACAGAGCCCAGATAATTAAGTAGTGAAAAGGCATTCTTTGTGGCAAGCTACAACGTGACAGACTACAATGTTTATTCTAAAACTATCTAAGTGAAGTAAATAATCACAACCAGTTCTCACAACTTCTCTAGCCCAGGAAGAAATTCATTAGCTCAAGAATGTTGTTAATTTGTCTGCTGTTAGTGTCACAAAGGGTGGCCAGCCACTTCCTCAAGACTTCTGCAAAACAAAGCCAGCTCACAGTATGGATTCCAGAGGGTGAGGGCTCACTGAGAACGGGCATTCCCGTTCTACCTCCTTCTCGCATACCAGGGCGGCTATTGTAAATTGCAGGTTAGAGGGGGTTGGGCCTACAAAGTGACACCTCATCCCCCACAGACAATAAAACATTTCTTTATGTCTTTTTTTCCCCTTTCTTCTTTCCCTTCCCCTAAAAGTGTCTTCCTTGCGTTTTCTGCTTTCTCTTCCTTCTTATATTAACCTCTGATGTAAAATAGTGTGTTAAAAGATTGTCTCTGTGTGAATGTAATACATATGGTACGAATGTAGGCATATATAAAAACATTGCTGAACCCTTTAGCCCAGCTATTAACAATTCGAAAGTATAACTGTTAGTGACTTGGAGCCATAATATGAATTTAATTTTTTTTTTTTTTTTTTTTGTACCAGGGATCAAACTCTTGACCTCTGGCTTTACCAGGCACTGAGCTAAATAAGATGAAATATTATTTTAAAAAAAAAAGTGGGACAGGTATTTTGTTCAGTGGCATGAGCACCACTGAGGCCAGAGAGATTGTGAGTTTGATCCCTGGTACCAAAAAAAAAAAAAAGGATACAATTATATAGTAAGTATTATTTACTATTTTAATCTGTTAGTTTGACATATATTTAGGACCTTATTCAGACCTAAAGATGGACCACATTATTATCCCTGTATTTACTTAAAAAGCTCAAATTTTTTTTTAAATAGTCTGAACATGGTAAAATGAGAAAAATCACTCATAAGGAGACAGATCTGATTTGAAAGTTTTATTACTTTGAGTTTTTATTGGAAAAGATAGAACAACAAGCATTTTCATACTGAATGTGTAGAGTAGGAGTAGAAAAAATACACTAGTACATTGCTTTCTTTTATTTTCTTTTACCGGAAAGTATTTCAAACTGATATGTATTTGTGTTTCTGAAATATGTGTTAAATTTTTGGTACCCCTCAGAAAAATTGCTTAGATTGAAAAAAAATACTTTATTAAGAGAATGAGTTGGTATAACGTTTATGAAAGATATAAAAATGTTAAACTTTAAGTAGCAGTATTATCGACGTTTAATAACCCAACTTTGACAAAATATGTTGCACATTAATGTAGTCTTCAAGGAGTAATTTTAACAAATGATTATTTCTTGATAGTACTGGCAGAAGTTCAAAGACATAGAGCTTCTTAAACTGCTCAGAGTAAGTTTCTAGAGTGCAGTTTGTTAATATGTATCAAAAACCTGAGCCTGTGCTTTTGTCCCAGCAGTTCCTCTTCTAGAAACTGTATCATAAGAAAATGAGGATGTGTGCAACAAACTGATTGCAAGAGTAATCTTTACTGCATTGTTTACTGGTTAGATGAAGCAACTTGCATACTATGAAGTATGTAGAGAAAATTTGAAATGATTTATGGTCAAATACAAAAAGTTTTAAAATATAATTCTAATTTTAAAATTTTTTAAACTTACTTTTTTTCCTACATTCCATAACTAAGCACCAGGTCCTGTATATTTTACCAAATATGCCTTCATTCCACCCTTATGTATTCGTACAGCCATCCTTTTAAGTTGTAACTATAATTCTCCATCTGAAGTTTTGAAAGAACTTTTAGAACTGTTTGTCTTAGTCATGTTCTTGTCACTGGTACACAGTATCTGACACCTACAACTTAAAAGAGGAAAAGTTTATTTTGGCTCACTGTTTGCAGAGGTTTCAATCCATATTTGTGTGGTTCCATGGCAAAGCAGCATGGCAGAGGAGAAACATCTCATGGAGTGGTGGGAAGAAGCAGAGAGAAATCAAAGACAAGGGAGGGAGTTACAGGCTTCCAGACCACACCCCAGTGACCCTTGTCCTCCAGCAAAGCTTCCCCTCCCAACAGCACATTTAGCACTATATATACATATCTCAGTGGATTGATCCACTGGTGAGTACCATACCACTATGATCTAGTCACCTCTCCATGTCCCCACCTTGAGTGCACAAGGCTTTAGGGAGACATTCTGATACAAAGATCTTCCGGTATTTTACCTCTAGTGTTTCACACTATTACTAGATGTTGCTTTCTACTATGTAAGTCTTAGGAGATTTACCGACTGTGTAAAATCTTTGTAATGATGCCTGTCACCTACAGGGTAAAAATATAAATTTCTTCCATGAGACAAAATGATTTAATTAGGATAAAATGTAATTTGGAAATAGTTACAGTGGCAACAGAAGTAGCAGTTCAATGCATACTGAGCATTTAAAATATATTTTTATATTAACTCATGAAACTGATTTCTTATGAGGTAGGAAATGCTAATATACATATATGTTTAGAGGCTGTATTTTTTTTTATTAGTTGAGAGAAGGCTGGTGTGTCAAAGAGTACTTCACTGAGTAGCTGATTGTTTTATGTTGAATGGCATGTAATTTGGGTTGATAAAAAGGATGGTTTCAGAGTAGGGCATAATAAGCAATACTAGACAGTTTGCTAGGATTGCCATATGAAGTACCATAGACTGGGTGATTTAAACAAAAATTTCCTTCTAGAGGCTAGAAGTCAAACATGGATACCTTTTTTTCCCATGTTTTCACATGATCTTCTCTTTATGTTTATATGTCTCCTAACTTGTTATTTTTTATGGTACGGGGTATTGAACCTAGGGCTTTTGCACTTAGTTATAGCCCAGTCCTGTCTTTGTTTTTGCATTTGTTTTGGTTTTTGTTGTTCAGACAGTGCCTGCCCTGAATAGAATTTTCAGTCCTCTGACATTCACCTCTGTGCTGAGATTATAAGTATGTGCCCCAGTGCCTGACTTTTTAACTCATTATGAGGACAGTAGATACTGGACTTAGGGTCCCCTATGCAACTTTATTTACCTTAATTAAATCTTTACAGTCTGTCTACAAACACAGTTACATTCTGAGATAGTGGAGATTAGGATTTCAACATACAAATTTAGAAGGTGAAGCTACAATGCATATCAGAGGTATACACAGAAATGAAAATGGACCACTGACTAGAATCAGAAGGGACTGATGGGATTTATTTAGGGTAGAGTGTCAGGATTTTGGAGTATTTTAAATGCCAGGGACAAGAGTAGACATGATGGTTTTAAATCATGCCTAATCCAGGCCATTTCCAGTGCGTTATTAGCACCCTAGAAAGACGGAGAATCACATTAGAACAGTTTGTACTGCATGTCTACACTTTGTGTCATATCCACTCCTGTCACCTGACTTGACTATTCTTACTCAGCTAGAATAATTACTTCAGATACATCCTCCAATCACGTCAAAGTTAAAATGCTATGTAAGTTTTTAAGTCAATTTAATACAATAAAATATTTCCCCCATCATACAGAAGCAGCAAAACAATACTTATGCTGTGTTTTCTCAACTACAGTGAATCCTCGAGTTATGACCAGCCTGACATAAGAACAACTGGGGTTACAACCAGAATTTTAGGTTTACTTATGAAGTCTTGAATTACAACCAGATTGCTGGCCACTTCTGCAGTTGTAAATACAGACTTTCAAAGCCAGAAAAATGAATATAAGTGTAAGTAAGCATCGCTCTGAGCCCAAATATCTGATGTTAGTACCCTTCCAAACAATTCCCATCGGGGCCGGGGATTTAGCTCAGCGGCATAAGCACCTGCCTTGTAAGCAGGCAGTCATGAGTTCAATACTCAGTACCGATAAAAAGGAAAAAGACAGGGAAAAAAAAAAAAAAAAAAAACAATCACCATCTTCCATTTCATCCTTTTCCTGCAAGCCAAACATACCAACTTGATTGGTGAGTACAGCATGAAATTGTTGTTTCTGGTAAACTGAATACATTTTGAAACTTTTTGGTGGCAACAGCAGGAGAATTACTTGTGTTTCTGGTAAATTATACCCATTATACAACCCTTTTTTATTATGAAAAGATTAAAATTAAAAAGGAAAGATAATATTGGTTTACAACCAACTTGAGTTACAGCCAACCCGCATGAACAAATTGAGTCTGTAAGTCCAGGGTCCTCTGTACTTCATTTTAGGTGAATGTTTACATCGCATATACATAATTTCTATACGTAGTTTTAGAAAATGCACAAAATCATGAAAGTATAATACCTAAAAATACTTTTTAAAGCCCAGAACATAGTGTACTTTAGCTGAAACATTGACCATTCTAAAATGAGTGTCTAAGAGCTACAGTGGTACAATCTGTTAGCACATAGTACTTACATAAAATATTGTCTGTGTCTTCTGGAGAAAGGGACATGTTCAATTGTTTGTATTATTTTTAAGATCACTTGGTAGGTCTAAATCTTCCATATATAGGTTGAAGTTACTGTTAACTTACAAAAGCACTATATTGCTTGAGGATCCTTATTAAAACTTAATCTCAGACGTTTGTGAAATATCATGATGACTACAGTGACATTATAAGACATACCCACTTCATTTTTCCTGAATTTGTATATTTTCTCTACCTTTATTTAATTATATCCTGGTTGTGAATATAAAAGTAAAGACAGTGGATTTTGAGAATAACAGAAAAATGCTTCCACATCTTAACATAAAGCTCTGTTTTGACTCAATATTCATTTGTCATTCTAGTGTGATTTTCAGTTATGTGCCAAGCATTTGCATTTTGTCTTTCAAAGATAGGAACACCAAACTGTTTTTCTCTATTCTCTCACACTGCTAAACCTTCTGACAACAGATGTATGGGATTATTTCCCATATTCTATACTCAGCAATTAGTTCTCCAGCCTACACCACTTAGGTGTATCCTAATTTAATTCTGACCCTACTTGACCCTGTCCTCAGGTGTAATTTGTTAGAGTGACTTTCAGAACTCAAAGAAACACTTTATGTTTATCCATTTGTGTATAGGATATTACAAAGTATATGGGTGAAAGGGCCTGGAGATTTCATGCCTTCAGGTATGTTTCCTTCTAAGTGTGTCCATGTGTTTAACTCTAAAAGCTCTCTGAATCCAGTTTTTTTTTTTTTTTTTAGCTGTTTGTGGAGACTTCGAAGCATTAACATGATTGGTGACATCACTAGCCATTGATTAAAGTAATCTCCAAAGATTCAGGAGGGAGAGGTCTGAAAAATCCAACCCTGTAGTCACATGATTAGGATCCCCCTGGCAACCAGCTTCTAACCTGAATCTATAGAAGCCCACCAGGAGTGACCTCATCAGGACAAAAGATTTTTCTGCATAGTATTCCCAGGTATTTAGCAGCTCTCTACCAGAAACCAGGCGTAAAAACCAACCCTAAATATATATCTATATATGCTATTATAAGTTGTAATTAACATATTGTGATATCTATATATTATCAATTATAATTAATACATTGTCACTTAGTTCTCAAAAGAGTGATGAGATACAGTATAATCATGCCCTTTCTCAGTCTTATTATATGCCATATGTATGAACCAGTTCTTTCACAGTTCAGCACATTCACAACGTGGGTATAATTTATATTCCACGCAGCTGTGAACTACCAGTGGTACATGCTACCCAATGGAACAATCATGCATGTACTACAGATAAGAATGTGTTAAACTTTTATGACATATTTCCCTCTCAAATATCCTCATCCATGTGATAAGTTTCTGTTATTGTACATCATCTTTTGGAATTAATCAGAACAGTATTAAAGTGACTTAATTTTGTGAGCTGTATGCATCATTCATTTATTTATTCTTTATCATTGCCAGGACAATTTAATTTACATAGCTTGGCTATAAATGAAAACATGGATACAAATCAAGTGAAATCATTTATTTATATCTTTATGTCTTCCTTGTGATCTAAAATATATTGGTTTTAGATGAATTTTGAAATGAAAGTAAACTAGAAGATTTTTATGGAAAGTCACAGATACTAACGCATGTGGTAGTGAGTCTTTGGAGATTTGAGGAGTAAAGCTTTATGAGATGGAAGTTTTCAAGTAACTGAGATCTGTAATTTTATGCATTTAGGACATATAAGCTGTTCATGCTTGGGTAAATTGCTTAGCCCTTCCAAGCCTCAGTTTTGCTACATCAAATTTGTGCCTAGTAGCATTATTGTGCCTTTCGAGTTGGAAAAACTTTATCAGATAGCATGTGAAAACAAAATGAAGCAAATACTCAAAGTAATAGTTGCTTTGTTTATGATGATAATTTTTTATGTGGAAGACTACATGTAATCTAACACTTCTAAGTAGAGAAACATAGTAATTACTAATAAGGCATTTGAAAGAAAATAGAGTATGTAAGTGACTATTACAGAAAGAAATGTGCTAGCTAGCTGTTACCGTATTTTCTGTTGAGATATCAAGAGTAATCAGATAAGGTAGGAAAGTGAAACATTGCTAAGTGATTGTATTTTGTACTATCAACTAGTGATCGTGTTTTATTTTCTTGCCATTTGAATATTTTAGACAGTTTTTACATAAATATATTAACTAATCCTTTTAGCTCACATGATGGTACAACCTTTTACAATTACTACAAGGGTTTTTAAAGACCTGTCACAGTTAGGTGTGTTGGCACACTCATGGAAGCTAAGACAAGAGGATTGCAAATTAAGTCTCTCCTCGGCGACTTAGTGACTTAGTGAGATACTGCCTAAAAAGCTTCAACAAAAATTTTTTAAACGGTTGAGAATGTATTCAGTGCTAAAACCCTGAGTTCAATCTTTAGTACTGCAAAAAATTAGAAGACCTGATAGAAGGACCTCACACATAGTAGGCAGTTTATCATTAAGCTGTTTCTCCAGCACAAAATTAATCACTTATTAAAAAAATACTTACAAGAAAATAGCTACTAAATATTTGCAGTAATTCTCAAACTTCACATTTTTAATGCCTTACATAAAGTAGCATCTATAGTCATAAAATATTTTAAGACTAAGGGGCCAGGGATTTAGCTCAGTGGCATAAGCGCCTGCCTGCCAAGCATAAGGTCATGAGTTCGATCTCCCAGTACCACAAAAAAAAAGAAAAGAAAAAAAATTTTTAAAAAAAAGTTACTGTACTTTACTAATAATACTAAAGTTTCTGTTATTATCTGTATTATGAAAGTTACTACAGCTACTGTGTCTTTGATAAAGGTATACCTGGAGGAATATTGTCCCAAAACTTTTCCTTTTAAGCAGCCTACAGTATGAAGCAGTTCTTTGGTAAACCATGTGTTAATCTGTTGTCCAGTGTTAAATATTTGAGCCTGGTAATTTATCAAAAAAGCTCCCAGTTTTGGAGGTCCAAGAACATGGCACAGACCTCTGCCTAGCTCTACTGAGCGTTCCAATAGAAAATAATAGCAAAATGATAGGAATGTTGTATGAAAAAACTCACATTGTCTCTGGCAAGACAAGAAGCCAGAGAGCAGAGAAAAACTGGTCTTGCCCTTCTATACTTATATCAGTTCTTGCAAAAACTAAGATCTCATAAGAACTAGGTTAACTCTTTGCAGGTATAGTTTCCTCAGTCCCCTAACAACCTCTCACTAGGCTCTACTTTAAAGTTCTGCAGGCTCCCAGCATCATTACACTGGGAACCAAGTTTCCAGCAAAACCTGAAATCATATTCAGACCATAACAACTCACATAAGTGAGCATAGAACAGTCATGGCAAGACCCAGAGAATTAATTAATCACTGTTAAACTTAGCAGCTGCCCATGAGAAGATATTTGATATGAAATACAAGAAAAAGTCATAAAACATCAGATTTCTAAATGGTAGAGCACTTCTTTGGCAGTCTGACCCAAAATCTGGGAATGTTAACAAAAATGCCTTCTTTCTGTACTAACAGAAGAAAATCTGTATATTAAATCAACGTATATCATGCATATTTTACTTTTTTAATTACATTGAGCTTGTATGAATTTATATAGTTTCTTAATGGAAAGAGATTACAAAAGGAAGAGAATGAAGGAGAGAAAAACCCATGATGAATTTCTCAATTCTTCAGTACGTTAGTTTTGTAAGCAATTGGTAAGTGTTCTTTTATAAAGGAATCCATTGTAAATTAAGCATAGGAAATGCAAAATCAACCAAATAAATTTCACCTTTGGAAAATTTCACCACTTGTTATGTGTTAATATGTGTTCCTAAGTGTTTTAGTTTTTTTAATGAAGGTTTCAGTAAATATCTTACAAAACATGATTCCTAATTGTGTTTGATAAGGATATCATACTTAAAAGGCTGAGTCTGGGTTCCAACACTTATTTAAAGATTGAGAATCAACAACTTTATAAGGGGTTGATGTGAAATGTGAATTGTGTATCACAAAAGATGTTTTGAAAAGGGCCAGATGAGAGATTTCTTTTACTGTAAGTTTTACAATATTTTAAGCAAGATGTTAAACTAACATCTAAAAGCAGGACAGTACTGTATAAGGGTTGGTCAAAAAATAGCATGCTTTAAATTTTTTAAATATTCTGGAAAAAGGCATTGCCATTAATCCCCTTCATAATATCTTCTTGCTTCACACACAGTTATCCCATTGTCCTTGCTACTTTGTGGGTGTCCTCTTTCATGAGTATCTTTACAGCAGTTACCAAAACTATGGTGAATGCTGCTACCAGACGCTGTCCAGTGGTAAGGCAGGCTTAAAAAAATACCCTCATCCCTCTTATTCATTGGATCTTGCACCGTGCAACTTTGTGCTCTCCCCCAAAGTTAAAATGACCATGAAAGGTAAATAGTTTTAATGAGTTCAGGGCATTAGGGCACAACTGAAGACATTTGCAAAAAACTTTGAGAACTGCTTCAGAAAATGCCAACAATGATGAGATAAGTATGTTTGAAGAGGGGGAGTTTTTTGAGAGAACTTAATGGCAATGTGTCTTTTCTCTAATATTTTTTAAAAAGTTAAACATTTGCTATATTTTTATTACACCTCATAGTTACAGCTGTTTTGGTAGATACATGTATGCTATGACATTGAGAGTTTTTCATTTCCTATAATTATGATTATACCTCAAAGCTGAGAATATAATATATTAAATGCTCCTTTTCATAAGTTCAAAAATGTTAAATAGGCTAATTGTTTTACACTAAGTAATGTGACAAGCCTATCAGGGACTAAGATTAAAGGAGACCTTTTAAAGAAACAGTATTTGTAGATAAGGGCTCTGTCCAGTATGTAGTTGGAGTGAGAGGAGGGTGCTTGAAGAGAATCAGTTCTAAAGATTGAGATTACTAGTAGAAAGAGATGCATTTTTTTGAATATTGGCTTGGTAGGAGACTTGTTGAGCTCTGGGAGCTGTATAGAAGGAAAATAATTTGAAAGACATGATAGACTGAAAGAGGACTATGATAGATTGACAACTGGTGGTCAACTTGTAACATTCAGCAAAACTGAATCAGCATGGTGCTGGATGTGGAGGGACCACCTGATGATTTTTGCCAGAAGCATAAAAAGAGAACTGCAGGGGAAGAGGATGTGCTGTTATTTCCTGGAGAAGCCTGTCACACTGGCTTTGCTGATACGAATTTGGCTGTTCTTAACAGAGTGCTGAAGGTGCCTGCAGTTCTTTTTGGAGAAGCTCTGGTCCTTCCTTTGAGCATCACTTCCTGGCTTCAGAACAGATTCTTCACCTCACTGGTACAGACTTTCTAGCTTCCACCACTTAGACCTTCAACTGAAGGTCCTTGATACAAACTTGTGTGAGACATTTATGTGGACTTTAGCAGCTACCCTCATGGAGGACGTTGCCATGGGCTGTAGGTCTTCTGCTAGACTCAGGCAGGACATTGCCATGAGATCTAGGCCCTCAGCTGAATTCTTTGGGTCTCTAGTGTGTGAATAGATCTCCTGTACTCTTTTGCATTTAACTCTTCGGGTGAACATTGTAAAGTAATCCTATAAGTTATGTGTCCTGCATTTAATCTTTTCAATTGCAAACCCTGACTACAATAGGCCAAGACAGCAGGAAAGTGACCTCCATGAGAACTAGTCTGTGTGGCAAGAATAAAAGATTGCTGTGGGTGATAGGAACGCCAGAGAGTTAGATGAGATGAACTATTTTCTCAGTATGGAGACTACATCAAGAGGAGTGGAACAGGTAAAGATATCCAAATGACCACCACCAGGAAACTAGAGAATTAGAGGCATCTATGGGCTCCCCCCTAAAAAACCTCCCTGGAGAGCTACAGCTTTTGGATACTGTCACATAATTTAATCAATATCTAGTTAATGAGAATTGTGTTTTTCCCTAGTAAAAGATAAGCATTGG